GGCTTCATTTGTCATTCTGGTTCAAACCGCCCATTCAGAGGCAACAGTTTTGGAACATGACGATGAACTTTAACTTTTTTCATTTTGCATAACAAACACACCGTTAAAAAGACGGCTGATTGCAAACAACATGGAGGAGAATGAAAACCAACTTCATTGTATTATTGTTGAAGTAGAAACACAAAACAGACGCAGTGAGAAATATGCAAGTAGGTGGAAAATTAAATCACTCGGTCACAACAACCGGGGCCTTATTTGTTTTGTTTATTCGTGTTTATGGGGCCTCACAAATCTAATTAATAATGAAACACGAGCTACAGGAATAAGGAAACAACAGCCTCCGCGCGGTCATAAACTCCCACACGTGCTCATTCGCTAATTCTATAATTCCCTCGCACGGCCTGGGAGGATAAAACACTAAGTCATCGTTGACCGACGCAAACACGCATAGTAAAACCACTGCCTCCCACTGTAAGTTCACCCCAGGTGAGAACAAAAGGTGTCCTACGATCCATGAACTCCCTGAGCGCGATCTGGTGTTTGTGCGTCGGCTGGGGAGCGGCCTCACAAGCGAGCGCACACCGCCCCCCCCCCGTTGTATCTCCTCGCTCGGCCCCGTGCTCGGTTTCGGGGCCCTGGATTCATCTGCAGGGGGGCCTTGTAATATAAACTAACCTGCTGTGACAGTGAGGAGTGATTCAGCCACAAAATGCCGTGTTACAAACCCAGGGGAGTAAATGTGTTTGTGTGCAGAACAATACCGAATGTCTTATTACATGACCGTGGGGTGTTTCTCTCACTCTATTTTTAGAACAAACACACTTTGAGGATTGAAAGCAACGGTGCACATTTAGATCCACGCCACCAGGACGGGGCAGGACAACGTACGCAGACAAACGCAGGCGGCGTGTTTGCGAGGGGATTTGGCCGCATTGATCTACGATTTGACCGTGGAAAGAAACCCCGTCTGGAGCTGGCAAAATGTGTTCCGGCCCCAATCGTGAAATTTGGTTCTTTATTACTTGTGAATTGAATTTCAAAGTCCACTCACTCGATTGAAAAGGAATCGCAGATTTGCATGCAGCGGATCTGACTCATCCCGGACCTTTCGTCCCCCTTTTGAGTTTACAAAGACAGAACAGTGTTCAAAAGTACGTTCACAACCACGAGGAGAGAACCGACCACATTTACATGCGCTGTCAGACAATTTGATTGTCAGTTCTTTTGATAACGGTATGTAATGAAGCAGTTTAACATATCTCTTTTCTAACCCATCATGTATTATTCAATCGCATTAGTTCAAGTGTAAAGTAACTAATTAACTTTAATGACATGTACGAAGACTGCTGTCTATCACGTGATTTTAAACCAGTGATGCTGTGTGGGACGATGGAGGTCTGCCTCTTGTTCTACGGTGAGATCCTCACTACTGTTTCTACAGAAAACATGCAAACTCCCTCCGACGGCCCGGATATGTTTCAGTGGAGTTTTCCAGAAGTTAAAACCCTCTGTGGTGGATTGTTTCAGCCTTTGGCTTAATTATTTTTGTTTACAAGTTTTGAAAAAAACTGTACATCTGTTCATTACTCAACTCATATCCTGGCGCGCGTTACAGAGAACGATTGAAGTCATTTAACAGGACACTTCCCTGCTGTATATGAAACGATATCTTAAGTGAATAAAGTACGTGTGCTGTACTGTAAGTATAAAAAGTATAGAGAACAGAAGGTAAAAGCAGGCGTTTTATAATGAAATCTAACTTGACACACCGACTCCTACGAATGTTACATTAATGTAGTGTGACTTTGGGATGTGAAACTACAATCCCAGGGTTAGGGGTGGGGTTAGGGTTAGGGGGGGTGAGGGGCAGCGTGGACCCTGAAGTGGGTCAAAATGAAATTGTAGTAATTCCGTATACTAAAAGTAGACATGTGGTGAGCAAAATGACACAAGATCAATCAGTACACAATCTCCATGAATCAGTCAGACTAATAATAATAACTGTAATATAACTAATATATAATGTGTGCGATACATTGTTGCAGCAGAATCTCCTCACCATCAAATAACGACAAAAAAACACATTAAAATCCGCAGCATTAAATGGCCAACCTGCAAGAGGATAAATCCTTAATTTCCCCATAAGCTCTCTGTAACACATTTTTGGGGTTATATATTTTTTTGTTTCCAAACCCACGTCTGAAAACCACCAGAAATGGCTGATGCATCTCCAGGATTATTCTCAAAAGCAATGACAAAGCTCCTCCAGAGCTGTTTTCAAAGCCTAAGACGCCAGTAACACCAGCTCAACCTAAACTACAGTTACTCTTCCCCAGGAAGGGGAACTTATAGCATGCACAGCTTCCTGCAAGAAACTCAGCATCTGAATACAAGTTCTTCCGGAATGTAGAAGGCCTGTGTTGTTATGCACTGAACGCATTGTTGTGTGTGAGTCCTATGTGAAGTGCTGCATGTCGCGCTCATAGAAGGGACGGGTATCTTCTGCACATGGACCTGCTGGATGCTGTTCTGGTCTGGTTGGAAAAGCGTTTGAATCTCTTACTCTGTACTTAAGCCGTACAGATTGGCCGTTTGTCAGAACGATGTGCCGAAAAGCTACGAGCTGGAGTCATTTATTGATTGTGTGTGTGTGTGTGCACCAACACGGGGCCTTTGATGTCCTCATCCCGCTGTGTATTATTTCATGAGCGCTAATATTGCAAGTTAGAATAGTTTATGTGAGTTTCCTCGAGGGTGGTGTGTGTGTGTGTGTGTGTGTGGGAGCGGGGGGTCGATGAGGGACGAAGGGGCTGGGAACACGGATGGGTAAGAGACGGAGACAGAGAGGAAATAGAAATTGGGCCACGGGTCCGAATCTGAGAGCTAAGAGAAGATGAAAGAGAGACGCAGGGTCAAGGAGGCAATACCGGGGGGGGGTAGAAAGGCTCTTAGGTGCGAACGAAGATGAAGAAGGGGGGCAGCAGCAGAGATAAGAGGAGGGAAATGGAGTCCGACGCAGGAGGTTGAGAAGATAAAGCAGACGGGATTAGTAGAAGGAGAAAAAGAACGATGTTTCCAGGGAGATCGAGGGTCTACAGAACAACAAGCGCTGAACAATAGCGCTCTCAAGCCTTCTCCAGGGGACGAAAGCGAGCGGCCGGGGTGGTGAGAGAGTGACGCGAGGTGCAGCCTGAACATTTCATGAAGTAATGCAATGCAAGTGGACAGATATTAATGAGATGGAGGGGAGAAAATGGATTGGCTGGCAAGCAGAAACTGCAACGAGCAATTGAGATGAATGTGTAAATGCAGCATATGTGTTGCTGTGGCACATACTGCCCATCTTAAACAGTATGAGTGCACATTTTATGACTATTTATCACCCTCGCCTGTCCTGTTAAGGCGCAACTTTCCCTATGGAAGTCAAAATGTATCCTTTAAACCTCAAATATATATATATATATATATATATATATATATATATATATATATATACAGAGTATTTGCCAGAATATTTACTAGAAGAGTTACATCAGCAACTTCCTTGCTGAACCAGACATTTTCCCATGAGCAACGGGAAATTCCCTCCCAGTACAGCTACAGTCCACTGGAGCAGCCGAGGATTACTTAATGGCACCTTAGCAGTGGGAATGAAATACATATTTAAATGTTGATTTGTCCTGCCTGATGCTTTTGATTTGATTTCTTCTCATATTTTGTGGAAAAACATCCCCACAAAAAGCTGATTGCATTTTTCTCCCCGTTCAAACAAGATCTGCCGTGAACTCAATCATGACCCGGATTACCCTTGTGTCTTTAATCTGGCATCAAATTACACAAACATCTTCACTCTGGCACCTTCTGCTAAGGTCCTATTTCAAGCGCGCTGTGTTGAATTACACAGTGCAGGAGTGGGAGTGTTTATGCACACTGCTGCCATGACCACAGGCAATCATCTCACAGCAGCCTAATGACAAGACGCTCTGCTGCATTGTAGGAGGCTGTGTTGGAGGTTACAACAGTGCAATTAAAAGTGAGAAAATACTTCTGGGTCCCTTGATAGCAGCTCTCTGGTCACAGCTGATTCGTCGAGTATGTCGCTTTAATTTCCTGGTCAATGGCGACACGTTGAGCGCTGTCTTCCCCTCTTAGACCTCGTTAATGTGAGAAAATACTGGAAAGTTTTAAAAACTAATTATTGAGGTTAAATAAGTGGAAACGGAATACAGCTTTTTATAACAACAACCGAATAACGCCAGCTTTTTTTTTTCTTTAATAATAAACAAATGCCTCTCTAATGGGGCAAGTAATAACCTTTTATTTTCCACCGGGGTTGTTCACTGAAGCAATTAAGCTGAAATCACACATGTGGTAGTGATGAGGCTTTGTACGAGACGCACTTTGACAAATCAGAAAACCCGTCTCCTCTTGCATTTTGAACAAAATAGACAAGATAATGTCTTTCCAGAACAAAATCGTCCAACCGCTCTCTGCCTGGTGAAGGACGCGCTGTGCAAGCTGCGGGTTCCGCGTGCACAGAAGGAGTTAAATCTGCATGTAGGAAGTCTGTTTCCTGCCTCTGCTCCAGTTTTGAGGACGCAACAGAACTTGTTCAAAGGCATCAAACAATAAAAGATGGCAAGTTGTTTGATTTTTTTTTAATATATATATATAAATGATTGATGCTCCCAGTTGGCAAACATCCAGAGACTCGTGCTTTTCATCCTCGATTCCACTTTCTTGTATTTCATACTGAGTGTTTTCTGTTTGGGTTTGTTTTCATAGATGTGAACAATCTGCCTCAAATTGTCTGGTAGAGCTATTAAGCTGTTGTTGTATTGTATTTTTAATCATTTTTACGTTATGTCCCATGAACGCGTGTGTTTATTCATTTCAACCTTTTAACATCTTTCTTATTCTTTTTCTTTTTGTACTGTTGTGTTTGTGCGCAGGATGATTTTGTCGGTGCGTAAAGGTGTGTTTTCTCTTCCTCCCTCCAGGACTCTGACCGAGCTCATGAAGCAGCCGGGCGAGGCGGGATTGGTGGATGGAACAGGGGTTCATCATCCTATAGGCACCAACGGCATCTCCGCCCGATCTCTGCGCTCCAACAACGGTCAGTGCTCCACGTGTGTGTCCGTCATTCCGTGTGCGTTTGCATCGGGGCTGAGTACCGTTAAAATTATGACAACGAGTTATTTGATACCTCGTTTTTGTACTTGGATCAATACCCATCGTTTGCATGGAAGCAAGTGCTTGCATAAAATGCCTCCACCACGGCGTTCGTTTACACACGTTCATCCGTTTATAATGTTTTGGTGGGATCTCGGCCCCCCTGAATTGAGCTGAAGGGAAAGTTCCTGCTGCGTCCGGTTTGTGTTCAGGACAACAAGCAATCTCTTTTTATGATGCTTGGTTGTTGAACTGAGTGTGGATCGATGAGGGCATTTCACATTATCGCTGCCTCATCACCCGTCAAAACAACGTCATCCAGCCACAAAATGCGGCAGCGATGTTACTGGTGACGCTCCACATATATTCATTGACAGAGTCATGTGTGTTCTCTGTACAGCGTGTGGTGTAGTGTGCTCTGCATGCACACAGAGAGCTGCAGTAGTTTTTCTCTCCCTTCCTGATTCAACAGTCCTGCACGTTTCTCGCTTTGCAAATACGCTACTGCAAATAAGTCACTTGTATCTTTGCCTTTACTTCTTTATGTACTTTTAAAAAAGATATGTATATAAATTATTATGTAGTTCTCGGTCGTCCTTCTTGCAGTCATGTCAAAGCTGTTTATTTTGGTTTTGCACCGCTGTGATAAACCGGCTTTGCTCATTTACTGTATAGTTTCAGCAAGGAATGTGTTCCGTTAGAGCGACCTTCAAAGCCGGGAGCGATTCAGAAACAAGGGGACGGATTCATCGAGAGAACTGGGACAAAGCCTCAACATCCACGAGCACCTCGCACCTCGCACCCGTTTGTATCGAAGCACATATCCAGTTAAGCATGAGCACACATGCGTCTTCCGTGGGCAAGCAGCAGGGACAGAGGTTTTTAATTAAGATGTAATTAGCTGTGTTCCAGCTCCGGCCCCCACAGAGGGAGCACCGTGTGACCCATCTGCCTCCCTCTTTGTGTTTTGACCACACACTCACACACGCACGCGCTTCTTTAGTGCATTGAGACTCAAATAAGTGGCAGCCCTTCCTGGGGGCTCATTTGTGACAAGAGTGATGGCACGTTTTAAAGGACAAAGGTCCCCGCTGCCTCACTATTTCGTCCTCGTCATCAGGCGCCGCAGAGCCAATGTGAGACGTTCTTTGGTGCGAGTGTTTTCCAGGCTGACCTTTTTTAATGAGGTGGATGTTTTTATTGTACAGCCCTGAAGTCTGGAAGAAATCTGCACTCGCAGATGACGCCGCATAACATCCATAAACAAGAAATGCATGCACAGATCAATTCAGCGATACGAGATGTTTCCTATGCTCGGGTTTATATCTGAACGGTTTTCTTGTTTCACATTATCACAAATGCACAGGCGGTATTTTCACACGAACCAAAAGAAAAATGCAGAGGCTTCTCCCTAACTTTCATCTTCCCACCATTGCAATAAACATGGTTTTGTCCTCTTTTTCACCCCACACTGCGCTTATTAGCACTGTGCTTTCTTGTGTCGGCTCACTTCTTCAATTGCTTTCTCCCCCTGCTATTAAATCCCCCTTTTTTTAACGCTGCTTTCTCACATTATGTTGCCGTGGTCATTTGTGTAGTCTTCAACATCATAGTTTATTCAGCCTTTAGGCGATTTAGTACCTACAGCAGGTAGTCTACTACAGTATCTGCTGTAATTTGTAATTTTGTTTGACTTGTGATTTATCGGTCTGATAGTTAGTTATCCTTTAAATATTGCTCATTATCTCTGATGGTTCAGGGGGGAATCACACATTGAAAAAACTGGAGTTCCGTTTTATAATAAAATCTACTATATGTAGTTCTCAAACAGCTTGTTGTTGTGCTCATCAACATTTTAAATATTATTATTTTCTCATCTCTCCGCCCCTGTAAAATGCCAGTACTTAGAAAACAAAAGAGGAAATAATTATTCATAAGTACTACACCACTCTGGGCAGCAAAGTACCAAAAGATTAAGTAATTCTGCAGATTAAAAAAAATGATTTTAACAAAAGTAAAGAAAAGAAAATCTAGAGGTGAGAGGTGTAATAGGTGGGATACAGAGTGTGTGTGTGTGATTTAAAGGTGGAATGAGGGCACAGGCTGATGACGGTAGGCCGATGGAATAGAGACATGCAATCCCTTTTGTTGCTGCCTTCACATAATCACTTCTTAATTAGACACATTTAATCCTTGAGGCCACTTCGAGAGAGAGAGAGAGAGAGAGAGAGAGAAATGGAGAAACGTGAGGAAATGAGAGAAAGGGAGAGAGTGCAGTAGGTAGATAAAATGCATCTCCCTTCATACGTCGGAGGAAAAGTACTTCAAAGGGATTTGGCGATGGAACAAAGCTGCTCGCTTTTCATGACGTGATACACGACACTTATGGCAGTATGAAAAAATTTACCACTTTTTAAAGGACCCTCTGTGAAATGACAACACTTATAATGACAACGTTATTGCCTTTCAATGGCAAAAGGACGTCTGCAGCACTTTCAATAGTATCTTGAAATGGATTCTGCTGTAGTTTATATTTTAAATGTCAGTAATATCTCGACGACTAATGAAATTCCCATCTGCTTACTTTGTGTTTACTCCTAGTTAGTTAGCATGCTTTACACAGGTAAATACTATACCTGCCAAACAAGTGTTTTATTTTTTCATCTATCTATTTCAAGTTTTGCTGATCTGAAGTGCATTCTCGCAGATATACTTTCATATGTAGTTTTAATGATTTATTCATTTTAATGATAGTTATTCACATATCGCACCATGGACCTGTACATCTGTCGTTCCCATTTGTTTATTTATCTTCTTCTTATTAATTAGAATTAACATTAACAAAAGCAAGCAATTCTCATCAAGAATAAAAGTAAAACATACTGCAGGGAACGATGTAGAAGATTGACCAGTTTTCTATTCTTATCGCTCTGCATGTACACAACACAGTACTCTGTGCATCGGTGCATCTGTGGCTCGCAATAGTACTTCCCTGAACCAGCAGGAGTGCAAATAGGAAAATAGGATTAAAATACATTGAACACGTCCTGAGCTCTTTCCCTAATGAAGACAGCAATAAAATCCTCGTGTTTCCTCTCTTAAGAAAAGAATGATCTCCTTATCTGACTTTAACTCTTCTCCTACTCACCCCTGCTCATTTTCAAGGAAGATATATTTTAATACCATGTAAGGGAGGAACAACGGGCTAAAAGCGTCAGGATATAAAGCCTAACACTGAAATATCGGACAGACAGAGAGGAGCCGGGAACAGGAAAACACAAGGAGGAGAAGAATCGAGGTCAGGCAGTGGTTACAATTACCGAGGAAGACGGAGGATTGTTTTGTGTGGTTCCAAAGTCCGATGACAAAAAGGGTTGACAAGTTTTTGAAAGTCAAAGAACATGCTACGGTTATAATCAACATATCAACAGCTTGGGAAAAACAGCTTAAGAAGGAAGGGAGGAGAGTGTGCGGTGAGGGGAAGGATGGCGGCGGGGGGGGGGACAGGGAGGTGAAAACTTCAAAAAAGAAGCGCCGGGGCGAGAGTGAGAGAGAGGTGTGTGACGGAGCTCGGGTCCAAAGGGACAACCGGGGGGGAAGAGTGTGCGTGAGAAAGAGTTGGACACAATAAAAAAAAGAGAAGGTGAGGCAGGGCGGGGGGACCGGAGAGAGCGATGGAGAGAATAGATGGAGGAGACGACATGCTGATAGCTGCGAGGGGGCGACAGCTGGTCAGCTGCTGCTCTGCTCTGTTCTGGTGTGGAGAGCTGCCCTGGGGACAGTCACCCTGCTCTGCACACACACACACACACACACACACTCACATGCAGAAGGTTGCATGTGTACATATAAACAAATTACACACAGGCTGGGTCACACAGTCCAACGCACATTTAGCTGTGTTCCACTGTGCAGAGATCTGAGCGGGTCCAATGAGCCGGGACAAGAGCTGTGGAAGACGGTAAAGAAATTATGGGCGAGATAAAAAATCAAGGTGTGAAAGAAGGAAGAGATGGAATGAAGAGACGGAGGGGGAGAGCAGCCGAGAGCAGAGGACTACGCGTCATGAGAAGGGAGTTAAAAAAAACATAAGCAACATAAGCATAACAACATAAGTGACGCCGTGGTTTATTACACAGAAACGAGCGTGAGAGATGGAGCGGGTACGAGGCATGTGGGATGTAAATAAGAAAGCGTGGCGAGGGAAGAGGAGAACAGATGGCGGGAAGGAAGAACGCGAGAACACTCTCAGATCACTTAAGCTAATGTCAGCCTTGCCAGCATGGCCTCTAATCGCAGCTCTGACTGCAGCAAAGAGCACAGAACAATGCGTAAACAATGAATGAAGTACAGTGCAAAGGGGGCGTTTCACCGGCCGATTCCACTACCAAATAACTTTAGTTCTTGGGCCTCAGCTTTTTCTAAGTTCTGACCCTTCTAATGACTTGAGTGACACTGACTTTCCACCAAAGACCCCCATAACGTTCACAACTAATGTGCTGACATGAGGTCTGGTCTGAACTTATTTGTTCTAACTTCTCTGATGCCTTTTGCTTAGAAAACAAGTTTACGAGGGTATATAAATGTTTCCGAATTGGGGGGACAGGAAAGGCACGTAGGATTGTGGGCGTTTTATGAGCCGCTGAAAATTCACAGGCATCTCTTTTGAAAATCCTCCAAAGAGTTTCCTCGGTTATAATGAAAGGATGGTAGACATTTGAACAATCCTTTGCTGGAATTCAATGACGTAGCATCCTTGAAGCTCACGCCGCTGTGGGAACCTGCTTTGGTTTTGAGATGCAGACCTCCATGTTGTTTGAGACTGTTCCTCCCAAAAAAACTAATCAAACGCTAGCTGTCTTGCTCCTTTTCTTAGCACAACCACACAGAACCGTCTTTGAGAACCACATAGTCACACAGAAACATATAGAATAATAAGAGCCTGGACGAGTTTACATTCTAAACACATTGAGGAAAGATGCCACGGACCGCCTCAATGATGCACATGCGCTGCACACACGAGCTGCTTCATTTAGCAGTTGTGGTGAGCAGGCTTCAAACTAAAGACGCCCCTCGGTTATGGAAGGAAAGACTTCAGTGGGGCACATCTGAGCCGGGCGGAGGTTTCATCTGAGATAGGGAAGGATTTGCATTTGTGGGGCATAATTTGCATGTTGCTGGCCTGCGAGAGAGGGAAATATAAACATGAGTGAGAGGGAGGTGGAGATGGAGGGAGGGAGGGGAGGGAGAGCAAGGGGGAAGAAGGCGAGAGAAACGGTGTTTGTTTGATGCAGGAAGTGATGGAGAGACCGGGGGAGGGGGGGGCGATAGGATCGGTGTGACATTGAAATCAAAACACGTAAATGAGTACCATGGGAGCCTGCAGGATGGGTGCTGAGTGAAAATAGGTACTATAGGCAGAGGGCTGGGTGTGTGTGTGTGTGTGTGTGTGTGTGTGTGCCAGCATCTGTGCGAAAGGGAGAGCGTGTTTGTTTACATCTGTGCGCCCTTGATTTCTTCACTACAGTGCCACATGGGGCCAGTGCCAATTATATCCGCACTGAGCTCGTCAACGACCCCCCACCAGAGAGACAGAGAGACGGAGGGAAGGGAGTCAAACAGAGCAAATATGCTTTAAGAATATGTGAGTATATGTGTGTCCATTCAAGCATGAGAACATGCTCTCATGCATGAACGTATCATACAGTTTGCCCATCAGGTGGCCAACTTGTGTTCTAATCCAGTTACATTCCCACCATTATGTCTGAATGGCGTAATGGTTGTAGGACCCCAGGTCTCCCTACCAATCTGTTTGCTGCTCTGTGGGTGTTTTTAGTCCTAATTAGCATCTGAAGGGATGCGCTTGTCAGCAAGAAGTGAATGATCCCGACCATGCTGACCATGTATAGTGGCTGAAAACAACCAGACAGATGTGCATACGTTCCTCAATACAACCGTAAACAACCAGAAAACCACAACTAACAGATGTCAAATGTTTTTTTAGAAGCAGTAGATGCACCACTTTGGTTCAGACTCACATGATTTTAACAATGTTGTGTGCATTGCCAAAAAAAAAAGAAGCTGTTCAAATGTTCCTTCTTGTTTCTTTAACCAATGATTGCGGATTAAGTCTATTCTTATCAGACTGTATTTCAGAGGGATCGTTTTCTTTTTCTGCCCTTTTAGTTGTCAGTCAGGTTGAAAACATTGTGCAGAGTTTTGTTCTACATACGCTTGCAGGTCTGCTGAGTCCCTCAGCTGCTTAAAATCCTTCCTAACACTTTTCTGTCTACTGCTGCCTTTAATCGACCATTTCTGCATTTCCGACTTTTGGTTAATTTACAATACACTGCAAATGTGTATCTTTTCCCTTCATCTTTCAATCAATATTCTCAACAGTTTTCAAATCTCCTTGCTTTATGTTTTTAATGGTTTTACGTGAAGCACTTGCCGTGTTGTTGAAATGTTCTATACGAATACAAATGCACACACAACAAATCCTTCATACTAAATGATCCATTTGTAAATAAGAGTTTTCAACAACTCAGATTGTTGAAGACAGCAGTTGATGTATTTGGTAAGACAAGCACACTGTAAATATGTTGAAATGAAGTTGCGTAACAGCCACAATCCTCTTCTCCCGATCTTACTTGACCTTTGTGTGTCATTCCCCTTTTTGGCTCTTGAATGACGTCGCCTGGATCTTTCCTTTCAATCTTCTCTTCCTCTTCTGTACACCAACTAACTTCTCGCTATCTCTCTCACACTTTTTCTCCCCCCTCAGGCCAAACTAAATATATCCCTCCTTCCACCAAAACCATACTGACGCAGCAAAAAAAGCTCAGCATATTCAAAAAACACTCTTTTTACATTTTTGCCAATTAGATATTTCTCTCACTTGCAGGGTTTTTTTATTAATTAATTTGCCTTTAATTTCCTATTTGGATGGTGCCATTCGGATCTTGAATGCCTAGTGTTATATATCTGTCTCAGACGTATTTGGGGCAGTAAAGATACGACCCATGAAGCCGCCTTCCGGGTTGGTAGATCAGGTGTAAATCTGGCGGATAATCTTCTGGTGCATCACTTGCTTTGCGCTCCCACTATCTCTTTTCCCATCTCATTAACCGCCAACCTCCTCTCATCCTCTGCATTATTTCTGCTCACAGCCTTGCTTCCTTTGAGGTCTCTCTCCCTGTCTCTCTCCCTCTCTGTCTCCCCCCCTCAGAGCCCAAGTGTCTGCAGACTGAGCCGTCTGATGCCTCATTTTCTGACTGAACTCTGAAGTCGCCACAAAATGATCACAGAGCTACAATAAATAGACCCGATGTTCCTTTTGGTGTTTTTAGGAGTTCAAGAGTTGAATTGAACTGAGTTGAAAGCAAACTTTCAGGGTTGCAGGAAGAACATCTAGAGGCGACTGAAAACACAAAGAAATAAAGAATTAAGAGCTGGTTGAAAATACAAGCTTATATAATGTGAAAATGAAAAGAGAAATCTTAATAGGCTGATGTACATTTAAATGAAATGAAAATAAATATCATATTGCAGTAGAAAGGAAAAAGCTGAAGTGGACACAGATGGTGCCGCTCTATGTATTCTAGTTCTTTGAAAATCTGATGCCACTGCTGAAAGTCAACCAACTCACAGAGGGGGAATATCCAGAATAGGCTTATTAATAAACCAGGGCGGCGACAGATTACGGCTTTAGCTTCCAAAAGAATGGCTTCGTCTGACAAACAGACACAGTCGGACAGACAGAAGGTCAGTGAGTAACGTGACATATTAGCTGATCACCAGCGCGTGTACATCTTCTTTTGTATCATGGATACAAGCGTTACACTATCTTCCTTCACACGTGGAAACATGCCGGAGGCTTTTATTTATTTTATTTTTTTGCATAAGGAGTATTCAAGAAAAATTCAAATTGCAGATACAGAGAAATATCGATCATCAATATCGAGCATCAGGAAGTTTGTCAAATAACTTTTATATTGATTTAGTTCATTTATGGATTTAGATTTAATTCATTTCTGGTTCATTCAGCATGTATAGTGCATACAGCATGCATGAGGGACAACAGAGTATCTTCAGGCATATCTGATCTGCCATTATATTTAGAAGTGCATGAAGAAAAAAGATGCTTGTGTGTGTGAATTGATCCAATGAGGAGTGCGGGATGTTTCCTCTCAGTCATTTGAAGGACGTCAGACTCAGCACGACAACGCGCCAAGCAGTCATGACGGCCCCTTAGACACACGCACGCACACACACACAACGATACACGGCAATGACGACAATTAGGGACAGCACAGACAGACTACTTGATAAATTAGCGCTCAATAGAGACAAATGACGCCGCTCGTTGTCATTGTGGTACCTTGATTCATTGGGGTTGTGCATCACGCACATAAATGCATGTGTTCATTTTATGTGCCTTGGAGTTGGCAAGCGGTACTGAGGGACGCTGTGTGTAGTTGTCACCTCCTCTGCCTCCAAACATCCACAAGGTAAAAACAAAATTCACAAATGTTTTGTGTATTTTTTTTGCGAGTTTTGTTTTTTGTTAATCTGTTTTTATGCCTGAACAATCCGATATTAAATATATCCGAATAGACGACATAAAGCAAAAGAGGCACCGATCTGTTATTCCTGTTTGGTAGTTCTATGACACATTGAAGGGGAATCCACTATCCGTGCATGCAAAAGCTGCACTGTATGTACAAGAAGAGGGTGAACGCATTTTTCTGTGTAATGAGTGGCAGTTCAAAGGGAGAACTTTGAAATTTCTATGGATGTGAAGTGTGCGGATGTGTATATGTGTGTGTGTCTGTTGGATACTGATATGAGCCCCTGAGTGAGGTGCAGTGCGTGGCTATACATTAAATGGCCCGGATTAGCCTCCACTGCTGCAGGCTCACTGATAGTATTACTGTTATGGAGCAGCTGGGAGGGATCGGGCTCCATTTTGACTCTGTTATTCTGTCATAATGAGGCATAACCCCTCTCGTAGCGGGCTCAATGGTTTCCTGGTTAATGCATCAGACCAAGGGAAAGGACTTGTGCTGACTAGCAGGCAGGGAGATGAAGGAGGTGGGCGTGTGAGAGAGAGAGAGAGAGGCGACGGAGAACATCTGTCAGCAGAAAAGAACATTTACAGAACAAAACCGATTTTTCATTAGCATTTCATTTCTACAAAGAGCGACTGCTTGCTAATAGTTGAGTTATTTGAAGTTATTGGTATAGTAATCGGTATTGAAATGTACAATTTTATCTCTAAAATTCAGTGCCCATTATTCAAATAAATGAGTTAACTTTACAGTACCAAGGGGTTTATTTTGACTGTGACTCAGAAAAGAAGCTTAAGTTGAACCTAAAAATGGATATAAATGAATTGTTAGTTGCAACCCTTCAGTTGCCCATTAGATCTGCTCCCCTTTGTTACAGTTGAGGACACTGTCGGACCTGTTGGCACCGGGAACTGAAAACTACCGACTCAGCGCTGCAACGCTGCCGCTCAGAAGCCTTCGAGTTTATTAAATGGCACCTTTTCACGATCCGTAACAAATTGTGAAATGTCAGTGTAGAAGGAACTTGGGTATGTTATAACAGTCCCAGGTGTTATGTAATAAAAACCATAACAATAGGTGAGAACAACACCTTGACTTGTTTTTTTTTTACTACATGTGATGTGTCACGCTCACCTAGAGTGATTCTCTGCCATCAAACCAGCAATCTGGTTCAAGCTCAATCCTGCGATTAGAAATGCAAACATCACATCAGATGAAGTGTCCAAAGAGTGTCCAATGAGAGGACTGAAGTCACAACAGGACATTTACAGGACATATCTGACTCACAGACACATTTTATGTGTAACACCAACACGAGTGGAGGAAATGTCCTTGGTAATGATACATATATATGTATATAACCTCTCTGTGAAGGTTGCTCCTACTGTGAGCTTAAATTGATGCTGTTATTACAAAAGAAACAGTGGCTGTGCTGAGCCCTGCTTGCATATGTGTGTGAGTGTGTGTGTGAGTGTGTGTAAATGTACCGTATGTGTGTCTCTGAGCTAAAGTCAAACGATGCTGTAACATTGTCTCACTGAAATCAGTCGCACATCGGCCACAAGTCCAAGCTCCGGGTAAACAGCCCGGGAGCCCTTGGCACACACACACACACACACACACACACACACACACACACACACAAAGACACACGCACACACAGATGAAAAAGAACGAGGAACTACAAAGAGAAGCAGACCCACCTTAAGAATCTCAAAACATACATTTGATTACTGGATATAAAAATGAGAGCAGATGAAAAATCTCTCTCTCTCTTTCTCTCTAACACACACACACACACACACACACACACACACACACACACACACACACACACACACAGCTGCCAATGCCTCATCAAATCATGTCATTTCAGGCGGCATGTTTAACCTAATCACACTCAACCATGCGTGATCCTCAGAGGGGGGGTCAGGTCTGTTGTGACAGTGGATGTGCTGTGTGACGGCCACACGGGTTCAGAGGGCACTGACCTCTCGACACTCACGCGCACTTTAGACCCCGCGAGGGGACGTCAGCAGAGGCCGACACACGTGGACGGACTGAGACGCAATGA